ACCCGCGCGCGCGCACGCTCACATACACGCAGACACACATGCACGTTCTCTCACACACACGCGCGCGCGCGCACGCACACATACACGCAGACACACATGCACGTTCTCTCACACACACGCGCGCGCGCACGCACACATACACGCAGACACACATGCACGTTCTCTCACACACACGCGCGCGCACGCACACATACACGCAGACACACATACACGCAGACACACATGCACGTTCTCTCACACACACGCGCGCGCGCACGCACACATACAAGCAGACACACATGCACGTTCTCTCACACACACGCGCGCGCACGCACACATACACGCAGACACACATACACGCAGACACACATGCACGTTCTCTCACACACACGCGCGCGCGCACGCACACATACACGCAGACACACATACACGCAGACACACATGCACGTTCTCTCACACACACACGCGCGCGCACGCACACATACACGCAGACACACATACACGCAGACACACATGCACGTTCTCTCACACACACACGCGCGCGCACGCACACACACGCACGCACGCCCGATGCAATTTCTATGCAAAATTGAGTGCTTCTCGAGCCCGCAGACGTTTCACGACATGAGCGCTAAAAAATTACCCTATGTGATATCATATAACTATCATGATGTATCAACTATATAATCAATTCATTCTTAATACGCTCAGGAGTATTTGATAGACTCCTGATACGCTCTTGATATAATATATCATAAACATAACGTAGCATGCATTTCAAGTAGCAGAGATACCTATAGAGAAGCGGATCGAGCTCTATACTCGTAGGCGGGATAATTGAACGGATATACAGGCTTATTATATTATCAGGAGTGAATAAAAACAAATTGGTTTTTATACTTACTTCACGAGCCGGCTTTTTGAAACACGCTTTCAGATCCAAATCGTGCATATATGTGCGCTGTGATCGGATATCTTACAAGCATTTTTTGGTACCGTCGGAAATAACTCAACCAAAATCTATCACGTTTTCCTGATGCCCGCCATGAGAAATTATACACCAGCCTAACCTACATCAGATTATATTGCTCAGTAATCAACGATACACGTAGGAGACTCGAGACTACGCGGCCACACCAAACCACCACACATCTACACGATGCGTGAACGTATGTAAGCACGCACACACACGTGCAGTTATATGTACGGGGGAAGCCAGCCGGGGCACGTTACTCACTTACCAGGGTCTCAGCAGCTATAATCAGGCAAACTCAGCGCGAAACTGAAGTGAACATCACGAGCAACTCACGCCAGCGAAGCACAAACAAACCGCTAGAAACAGCAAGCATGAGATATATGTATTATGTGTCTGTATACGTGCGCGCGTACGTGTGTGTGGGAAAGGGAGGCTGAACTTGCAAGCTGCACACCCGGCGCTGAGAGCAATTTCAGTTTATAAATAAACCCATATATATACGCGTATAGGTGATGCGTACCAGTAATGATATGCAGTCTGGAGGGCAGCATATTTTATGCGATTCTTGGTACCAATGTGCAGTACGTGTTCCCGTATAACTAAGATGTGAATTTGTTGTTAGCTGAAGAAGTTCAATTAAAGTTCTAAAGTAACTATATCTGGATAGGCGTGGCCATCGTGTGTGGAACAGTATGCTTATAAGATGCGAGCGAGATAAGCAGGGACGGATCGATGGGGGGTGGTCCGGAGGTCCGGACCCCCCTTTAATTTCAAAGTGCCCTAAAAAATTACATCCCTATTTTTTTAGGGCTAGTTTTTCTGATAAAGATTTACTTATATATATATAAATTCGTTATAAAAACCTAGAAATCGGCAAAGCGGGGTCCGCGGGGCGTCCGGGGGACCGGATCTAATAATTTTTTGCATTCTAGACTTCAAAATTACTGCTCAGATGGTCTCAGAATGCAACAATTTTTAAAAAATTTCTTGGGGGAGGTCCTCCCTAACATTATTTACCTCCCTAAGTGGCGTTCGGCAGCTTTTTAAAACACCAGAAAAATTTAGCAGGGAAAAGTGCCCTTTATCTCTTCCTGGACACCCCCCTTTCAAAAATCCTGGATCCGCTCCTGATAAGCTTGGCCTAATCGAAATCTGGGATATCCAATCTACGTAAAATATTTGTAATAAATATTTAAAAGAAAACATATGAATCAATGCGATAATTTTGCGATCGAAATAGCTTGACCAAAGTGATACAGAAAGGCCCAAAGGCGAGTTTACCAAGTGTTACTAAGTTTAACAAGATTATCAAGCGGAAGGGACTATCAATGCATTTAGTACAATGTACAATGTACGAGCGATTATGTACGCTGAGGCGGCTCCATAAATAGGCCGATGGGGGTTCAAACAGTATACCTATATAGAATTGTAATAATAGAATAGTGTATGATGGGGGCCCAAGGCCACATATAGTATTTGTATGGCAGGGTCCTAAGGCCACCTATAAAGTATTGTAATAATATAGTGTATGCTAGGGGCCCAAGGCCACATATATAGTATTAATTTTGTATGACGGGGGCCTAAGTCCAACTATATAGTATTGTAATAATAGAATAGTGTATGATGGAGGCCCAAGGGCACATATATAGTATTTGTATGACGGGGGCCTAAGACCACCTATATAGTATTGTAATAATCGAATAGTGTATGATGGGGGCCCAATGCCACATATATAGTATTTGTATGGCGGGCGCCTAAGGCCACCTATGTAGTATTGTAATAATAGAATACTGTATGCTGGCGGCCCGCCAAGGCCACATTTATAGTATCTGGTAGTATTGTTAGGAAGGGGCCCTAATGCCTCCATTATAGTTGTGTGGTAAGCCTTGGTTGTAAGGTATACGGCCTCCAGCAAAGAAAAGTAGGCTGCATCACTTGCACAGTGTATTATTGCTCCAGAGGGGGCCCTATAGGCACTAGGCACTTGGATGTGGATATCTGTCGCCTGCATACGCAGCGGGGACCTTACATGCAAGGTCTTCCTCCAATTTCTTAAATGATGTCAAATAACTGATGGAATGGTATCATATAAATCTATGCTAGGATAACTCCTCTTCATTTTAAATGAATAATCTTTGCAAAATACGATTTCTCAAGGGGAGATATTGCGCATGCGCGCGCACCGTGTTAGGCGTGTAGTGCCGTCTGAGGCAAACTTCATAATATAGCTTGCTGCGGGGGAGAGGGGATGCGAGACTGTGGACAGGCGGCATGGAAGATAACTGGGGCGGTAGAAGAAGATGGAGGCTGAGCGAGGGACAGGGGAGGCAAGGGGAAGAACGCAAAAGCATAAAGTAGGTGTTTTGCACCCTACATGCTAGGGCGCTCTCCTATAAACAGATGTCTATACTAATAAAAGTTTAATAAGGAAATCTATGCTGAGATACCCTCTAACCATTTTAAATGCATATTCATTACAAAATATAACTCCTCTGGTGAGATATTGCGCATGCGCTAACACACTAACGTAGCCAGATTGTGTACTGGCTTGTATACGCAGTGGGGACCTTACATGCAAGGTCTGCCTCCTATTTCTAAAATGATGTCAACTGATGGAAAAGTATCATAAAAATCTATGCTAGGATAACTCCTCTTCATTTTAAATGCATAATCTTTGCAGAATACGATTTTTCACGGGAGGTATTGCGCATGCGCGCGCACTGTGTTAGGCGTGCAGTGCCGTCTGAAGCAAACTTTATAATATAGCTTGCTGAGGGGAAGAGGGATATGGGAGACTGAGGAAAGGCGGCAGGGAAGATAGCTGGGGGCGGTAGAAGAAGAACGAGGCTGAGCGAGAGACCGGGGAGGCAAGGGGAAGGACGCGAGTGCACAAAGTAGGTGTTTTGTACCCTACATGCTAGGGCACTCTCCTAATAATAAACACAGGTCTACTGATAAAAGTTTATTAGTGAAATCTATGCTGAGATATCCCCTAACCATTTTAAATGTATATTCATCACAAAATATAACTCCTCTGGTGGGATATTGCGCATGCGCTAACACAATAACGTAGCCAGATTGTGTACTGGCTTGTATACGCAGTGGAGACCTTACATGCAAGGTCTGCCTCCTATTTCTTAAATGATGTCAACTGATGGAATGGTATCATATAAATCTATGCTAGGATAACTCCTCTTCATTTTAAATGAATAATCTTTGCCGAATACGATTTCTCACGGAAGATATTGTGCATGCGCGTGCTCCGTGTTAGGCGTGCAGTGTCGTCTGAGGCAAACTTCATAATATAACTTGCTGCGGGGGAGAGGGATATGGGTGACTGAGGAAAGGCGACAGGGAAGATAGCTGGGGGCGGTAGAAGAAGAAAGAGGCTGAGCGAGAGACAGGGGAGGCAAGGGGAAGGACGCGAGGGCATAAAGTTGGTGTTTTGTACCCTACGTGCTAGGGCGCTCTCTTAATTATAAAGACAGGGCTACTGATAAAAGTTTATTAGTGAAATCTATGCTGAGATACTCTCTAACCATTTTAAATGCATATTCATCACAAAATATAACTCCTCTGGTGGGATATTGCGCATGCGCTAACACACTAACGTAGCCAGATTGTGTACTGGCTTGTATACGCAGTGGGGATCTTACATGCAAGGTCTGCCTCCTATTTCTTAAATGATGTCAACTGTTGGAATGGTATCATATAAATCTATGCTAGGATAACTCCTCTTCATTTTAAATGCATAATCTTTGTCCACTATCTACCATAAAGGTTACAGCTTTCACTCTCTCTCGTTCTCTCTCTCTCTCTCTCTCTCTCTCTCTC